GCTCAGGTCATGATCCCAGGGTCCTGGGATCGAGCTCCACATCGGGCTCCCTGCTCGGCCAGGAGCCTGCTTCTCCCTCTCACGCTCCCCCTGCTTGTGTTCCCTCTCTAGCTGTCTCTCTCCCCGTGTCAAATAAATGAATAAAATCTTTAAAAAAAAAGAAAAGAAAATTTTATTTATTTATTTATTTAGAGAGAGATTGAGCATGAGTAGGGGGAGGGGCAGAGGGAAAGACAGAATCTCCAGCAGACTCCAAGCTGAGAGCAGAGCCCAATGTGGGGCTGGACTTCACGATCCCACAACCCCAGCCAAAATCAAGAGTCTGACGCTCAACCGAATGAGCCACCCAAGTGTCCCTCAGTTTAGATTCTGAAAGCAGACTGGCAATTTAGAACCCATATGCCAGCTTAGAGCCCCACACAAAACCTAGAACCTAAAAAAAAAAAAAACAAAAACAAAAACCTAGAACCTAACATAATCTGGAGATCTATCTGGAGGCCAAGCTCTACATAGAGACTAAGATTAAGAGCCCATTCCAGATTGGTGGTTCAGTTTAGGGTACAGTCTACATTCAGAAACTCAGGACCCCTCTCAAAACTTAGAATCCAGACCTGCAGTCCAACCATAAATCCAGAACCCTGCTTACAGCTAGAACATATAGCTCAGAGTGTAGGATAGACAGAACCAGAACCTATTCTAGATGCAATGTTCAATTCAGAGTCTGGTCTACAGCTCCTTTTTTAGGAGCCTGGAACCCAAACTTCAACCCAGTGCTAAATCCCAGAATGCAGACCATAATCTGAAGTCCCATACAGAACTCAGAACCCCTCCAAGAGTCTAGACCTAAACCTAGAACCCAGATCCTAGACAAGAGCCCACCCAGTGCCTATAAACCAGATCTAATGCCATAAACTAAAGTTTGATGTAGAACCTAGAGCCCAGAACTCAGCCCAGAGTCTAGAATGCAAAGCTCAGAATGCAAGCCAACATCTAGAAACTTGGATCCAAGCCATAACCTGGAGCTCCATCTAGAACCCAGAGCTCAATCTGAGGTCAAGGGCTCAGACCAGAGTCTAGAAGCAAGATCCCAGACCATAACTGTAATTCAATATGAAACTGAGCCTAGCCAAGAATTAAGAACTCAGACCGATGTTTAGGACCCTAAGCTCAAACACAGAGCCCAAACCGTTGTCTAAAACCCAGGTCATAAACCAGAACTTAAGCAAGAACCCAGAACACAACCTAGAAACTGAAGCTCGTATCCATGTCCAGAATCTATTGCTCAATATAGAATTGAGACTACCCTAAGACTAAAAGCTCAAATCAACATCTAGAACCTAGACTCAAACCATAACACAGAGCTCAAAATAGAACCCACAGCCTATCCTAACACCAGAATCTCACACTCATATCTAGAAAGTATGCCATGATCCAGGCTCAATCTAGAGAGCCCAGATCCTAGCTTAGACTCAAAAGTTCAAGATATCTAGAACCCAGGGGCCAGGCTGGAACCAGGATGGAGCTTCCCTGGAGCCTACTCCAAGATATCAATCCTTATTTAGAGCCTACAGCCATAGCCCAGAGTCTCACTTGGAACTCAGAGCCTAGAACCCAGCACTGAGCCAAGAACTCCCAGCTATCACCTTACACTCAAGCCAGAAACCATAGTATAGCTCAAGAGAGGAAGGGGTGGATGGTGGGATTGGCCCAAGAGAGAATGCCCAGGCCATGGGACAGAGCACAGGAGTCCATTGAATGCTCCATAAGCAGTTCAGACTTGTGGAATATTCATCACCAGGTAAGGGAATGGGGCCAGAGGGTGGAGAGGGGTCTCCAGGTCAGATCCTGAGCAGTGCTACTTTTGGGGATTATGGGCCAGGATCCTTCACGTAGCCCTGGGCAAGCACAACCTGAGGAATTGGGAGGCCACCCAGCAGGTGCTGCGTGTGGTTCGCCAGGTGCCACACCCCCAGTACAACTCCCGGACCCACAATAATGACTTGATGCTGCTGCAGCTGAAGCAGCCTGTTCGGCTGGGGAGGGCGGTGAGGCCCATCACCATAGCCAGTTCCTGTGCCAGCCCAGGGACTCCCTGCCATGTGTCAGGCTGGGGCACCACATCTAGCCCCATTGGTGAGTACTCTTGCATCCTGGGAAGGAAGGGTTGGAGGGCCTGGACTCCTGGGTCTGAGGGAGGAGGAGGTGGGTCCCCAGACTCCTGGTCCTGTTGGAAGGTAAACCCCCACTTGTAACCCTTCTGTGCCCTCCAGTCAAGTACCCCAACTCCCTGCAATGTGTGAACATCAACATCTCCTCGGATCAGGAGTGTCGGCAGGCTTATTCCCATGCTGTCACTCCTGGCATGGTCTGTGCAGGTGTTCCCCAAGGTGGGAAGGACTCCTGTCAGGTGAGGCCCGGGGGCAGAGCCGAAGGAGGGGGATTGTTTGGGGCTGGAACTTGGGTATCAAAGGATCTCAGGAGCATGAAAATCAGTGGAGGCCTCCCCAGAGACTGAGAGAGATTGCAATGGCTGGGCTGCCTCCTAGGTGTCCACCCTTGGATAACAGACTTAATCCGTCTGTGCCAAAGCTTGCTCATCTGTCAGATTGGGGTAGCTCCTCTTAGGGCAGGTGGTGGAATGAGGTGGTAGTCCATGGAAAGAGTGCAGAGCAGTGCTCTCGTTGCTGCTATACATATGGGCACTGGGAAATCTGTGCTAAGGGACTCTAGAGACCTTTCCTGAGAGGTGACTCGAGAGACGGGGAGATAAAGAGGCATACACAGTTTTCTAGAGCAGCGCAGTGAGACCCAAGAGGCAGAGACAGCAGCAATCAGTGAAGAGGGAAGGCAGTGACCCCAACTCTTCGGGCTGATATCTCCAGAGCCCTGCGGGGTGGGGGGTGGTCTCAGCCCACCTCCTTCTTCATCTTTGCCTCTGGGTTTTCCACACCCGTGGCTCTGACCATCTGTCCATGGGTGTTTCCATCTCGGCCTCTTCCCTTCAGGGTGACTCAGGGGGACCCCTGGTGTGCAAAGGACAGCTCCAAGGTCTTGTGTCCTGGGGGATGGAACGTTGTGCCCTGCCCGGCTATCCCGGAGTTTACACCAACCTGTGCAAGTACCAAACCTGGATCCAGAAAACCATACGGAGCAAATGATTGCTGGTGTAACTGAGTATCAGCTGCCCACCTGCTTCCCCAGACCTTGCTCTCTCCACTCAAGACCCAGGGGTCCCAGCCCCCAGCCCCCTCTTCCCTCAGACCCAGGGGTCCCAGCCCCCAGCCCCCTCCTAGCCCCCAGTCCCCTCCTCCCTCAGACCCAGGAGTCCAAACCCCCAGCCCCTCCTCCCTCAGACC